CTCTCGATAAACTGCACGTTCGCTCACTATCGACGAAGCTGATGATATCGTCATAGTGCTCAGTAGCGAGTCCAGGCATTGCGGGCTTGTTGAAGAATGAAAGGTGAATAATCATGCAAACGATGCACCCATGGTCCTAAAGATGACAATTATAATGAAGCATGAATTATCAGATGGTAAACAAATAAACTCCGTCAAGGATGTTACGACACTACGAACGAATAGACTCTTGCGAGAACTTTATCAATTGTCGGAGACTATAACTATTTAGGATGCAAATTGACTATCATTCCTGACTTTGACTGACCATTTCATAAAGAGTATTCTGTTTGAAGGAGTGTAATCAATTCCATTGTATTCAAAAGAATACGCGGAGCAGTACAACAATATTTTATGAAAAAAATCATTCATAAACATGGAAATTGTAAAAAAGGTCGGTCGATGCGTTTGACCACTGTAAATTCCATTGCACTTTTTGAGCTGTCGAGGAGTTGGTCAAATTTTAGCAATGTCGAGGGCAATGTGCGACCTAGTAAAAAGTACTGCACCATTGCCCGTTCAATGTGGCCAAACCAGCAATCACTGTGGTTTCGAAGTTTAAATTTCTTCGAACGTCGAAGGACATCTGGAATCTACTTCATTCAAAGTGGCTTAATCTGCAATCAATGTGGTCTACCTGTAAATTCGAATACGATCGAACATGTATTGACAAAGGTTTGCTTTGGCGGCCGCGGAATTAGGTCCATGTATGACGTATACACGTAGTACTTCGAATAGACCGGGCGTGCAAGCTCAAGAGAACTATCAATCCGGTTTTCAATCCGTCCGACAGGGCGGTCGCATCTTTGGCATGCTTAAAGCGTCGTCGCTACTCCGACCGACCGCCGTCATGATGCAATAGATCGAACAAAATTGGTGGTCGCCCAACATGATCAGCGCATGTGCCACGCTGACACGGGCATCGTCGGGCTGGATTACATTCGACATGTCGATGGACATCTTCAACACCAGTATGGGGATGGTGAAACACAATGCGATCGAAGTGGAGCTCTGCAGATGTTGCAATCGACGACAGACTTGTAGCGTCGACGTTGTGTTTGACGTGAACGGTGATGTATGCAGCGTTGGCCGTCGTTAGATTTTCAATGTTGGACGCTGCCATTGCATACTTCTC